GAGTGACGGCTGATCGATGTTGATCTTTGACATCAGCTGTTCGCATGGCTTGCTAGCAATGTTTGTTAGATACACTGCGTGGGCAATATTGGCGAGCGAAACGGACTGTATATGCAGGTCAGCGTTGGTCTCGCTGCAGGTGCTCGGGAAGGTCAGAAGCAACCACGAACACACGCTGCTCGTCTACCTGCAGCCGTCGTTACTCATGCACATGTTGAGTAACATGTTCGTTCACGCATTCGGTTATTGTTGCTGGCCGTCGAACCGGACGCGAGGTTCCGACGCGGATGGCTTCTAGTCTCTGATTTAGTCTCCACCATACCGCCTGACGCTGCAGCCGATGATATTCTACGAATCATAGAAGCAGCCCTGCTTGCCGACGTACGCCTGGTCAAATGGTTCGTCGTAGTCGATGAGTGTGGCTGACTGCTAGAGGTGGGGGGTTGGAGGAAGTGGCATGACTCGCATGAAAACTTTGAAGCGCAACGAATTCAGCGATGAATGATGTAGTCGTTTCGAGACACTGATGAAAGCTTGGAGAGCTGCTGGTATTTGCAGAGTTCCACCATAGCTCCCACAAGTGAGTCGTTCGAGGAAGCAAGCTCCCCACTCTCGGTGGAGGGTTCCGCAGGCACCAAAATAGGTCGGGCTTGGATGACCCTGTCATGGCGCCTCCCGATGAAGCTGATCTAACCAGCACCGAACCCGCCGCGCCGGATGACAGCGCGGGTGACGCGATGCCCCCAATCGAAAGCCTCAGCCCATGAGGAATCTTTCTGGTCAGGCGATGCGCCCTGGGGGATGGAGAAAGCCTCACTGACAATACTGGAGAGGCAACTGCAGGCCAACGTGAAGCATGGCCTTGCTGTGGTCTCAAACACGGACAGGACAGCTTGGATTCGAAACAGGTACAGCACATACCCGACCCTGCCTGGCGCACCCGGCTCCCAAATTCCGCGCCCGTCGTTTTTAAACGCAGGCCATTTGCTGCCCGCAGTTCTGCCACGAGTGATGGTGGACCCGCCCAGGCTTGCCAGACTCAGCACACCGTGCAGCTCTGGTCAGCGTGTTGGAATATGGCGCAGCACTGGAGATCGAGTCCCGAGTCAAAAGCTGTCGCCCTGCGCTTTTTGCATGCTGTGATGATGGCATCGCACCGTGACGAGCATGCTGTTTTAATAAAACGAAATGGGACCAGTGGGCGTGAATGGCAATGCCTTGCAGCGGCCACAGATTGAGGTAGCACGAGGTACCTTGCAAGCGGGCCGCCGCTGGATTTGGCACCCTGAAGCGTAATCGTGCTATGCCTCGACCGCCCTTGTCGGCACCACCGCCTTCTCAGGCATGTGTGCTGGCCCAACACCGCAACTCGCTCGGCCTCCGTCCAGCTCACTACCCTTCACTTTTGCGTGTGAATACACTGCATCGTTATAGCAACATTGTCTGGTTCTCCCAGCCGTTGATCCTGTGCGTGACAACCAATCGTTTCAGCATCGTACCTTGATATCCGTGCACGCTTGCTCGCTGGATTCCGGGCGCGCTATGACAGTGACAGTCTGACCTGTCTGACGGTCCTCCGAGCAGCGTCCTTTGTTCGTTCCTCCGTCCTCCTCGAGCCTACCAACGCCTCACCCAAACGCCAGAGACGTCTGTGACGGGTCTCTGCCTCGGGCCCGACTGCACTGCTTGCTCTTCGCTCAGTGCCTGGGTGCTCTCTCCATGCATTGCCTCTCCTAGCAACATCCGGGTGCGAGCTTCACACCTCGTTCCGCCTCTTTGATTCCATAGACGCCAACAACACCAACATGGCGACCTCGCTGCTCCCCCCGGGCGGCATAGCCCTTGTCGGGGCTCCGGATAGCGACGCCGGACTTAAGGACGATAGACGACCGCCTGTGCAGGCCATGCAGGTGGACATTACCCAGGACATTGTCGACGAGCTCCTGGCCAGTGTCAGGAGTGGAAAATCACCGCAGATAATCTTCGGACGGACTCCAGTATGTGTGCACGCTTGGTGTTGTGTTGCTACCTAGGTGTTCCTGGGTGGTTCGACCCGGAATGGGGGCTGGCACGAGCTGGGCTAACCACAACAACAGCAACTCAAGTATGGCGACAAGACGCACATGCTGCAGAGCAGCAGCGAGCTCCACCGATACGAATTGTACAAGTCCAGCGGGACTGGCAGCCCGGACAGCCTCGAGTTCGCGGGCATGATCAACCACAGTTTGATGGTACACAAGGCGGAGGACGTGACGGCAGGCGTAGACTCGGCGCTGGAGCAGCTACGGAGTAACATGGCTGCGATATCAGAGTTCAAGGAAGCCAACAAGTATGCCTCCCCGGTATCCCATGGCTGCCCACGATCTCTGGCATCAAGTCGAGAGACTCGAGCACCCCTGTCGCGGATGATTGCCATGATGAGACCCAGTTGTGTATACCAGGACTGACAAAGATTGCTGCAGGACCATTGTCGGCGATGCTGCTCCCGGGCGCACACCAGCCCATCGCCGCTTCCCGTCGACGGGCTTCAAGGCATCGCACCTCGCTCCTTCCATGCTGGGCTCGCCATCGCTCAGCGCGTCGTCGTCGCCCATGCACAAGCGGGCTCCTACCTCGCAGCCGAGCAACAGCCATGACGTGATTGTCAGCGCGCTCCGAGTGCCCATCATCCACCTCCTTGCGCGGGAGCCCGCCACCGAGGCCTCTCTCGCCGCCACTTGCAGGACGTCGCCGGCCAACATCCGAGATGTCCTGCCCAAGATAGCCAAGCGCTCCACTGCCGACGCCGACAAGTGGCAGCTGACAGACAAGTCGTTCCGTGAGGTGAATCCGTTCAAGTTCCCCTACCAGAGCGCCGAGGACCGGCAGCAAGCCATTGATGGCGCCATCAAGTCGTTCGACCGCCAGCGGCTGGCAAAGGACGACAAGCTCTGGCAGATCCTGCTGCCCCGTGACCAGAGAGGCCAAGGCATATGCTTGTCGCGTTCGACGGTGAAGGCGCCGGAAGCTAAGCCCAAAGCGAGCACCCCAATGCACAAGATATCTGATCTCACCAAGAAGAAGACGGTCACGAAGAAGGCGGCCGATAAGCCTGCAGTTGAGAAGAAGCCCAAGGTCGCCAAGGAAGTAGAGATCAAGCCGAAGTCGTCCATGAAGGAGAAGTACCTGGCCCGTGAGAAGGCAGCCGCGGCCGCAAAGGAAGTGAGCGTGAAAGAGGTGAAGGAGGAGCAGCCCACAATAGCAACAGCCCCAGCCTCTTCGACGCCTTCAAGCTCAACTCCTCGTCCCGTCGCACCTTCCAAATCCAACACACCTGCCGCCGACACCTCGAAAATACGCAACAAGAAAGCACCCGCTTCAGAAGGCACCACCAACCCACGCGCAAAACCCAAGATGAGTGGCCGCGATTCGCAGCGAGACCGCCCCGCCAACCGGCCTTTCAAGCCCACCATGCCCATCAACACCAAGCCGAAGAATCCCTCGCCGCTGTCCGCCTCGCCGCCTGTCAATGCCAGCGACTTCGAGGACTCGCACCCAGTCCACAAGGCACTTGCGGCAGCTCCATCGCCCGCGAAGTCCGGTGGTAACTCTGACCGTTCGCTCAAGCGCAAGGCGAACGACATCGACAGCGACATTCACAACCACAACCTGGCTGTGAAGAAGCCGAGTGGCGACCGCGCAACCCCTACTCACACCCCTTCACACACCAACGGCAAGGCCAACGGCTCTACCCCTTCCAGCACTAGCTCCTTGAAGCGCAAATCGGACGACTCTTCCTCCTCCAACACTCCCACCACCGCGCCCAAGGTCCGCAAGGTCGCTAACATCGACACCGGCCTCGCCTCGCGCTACCACCACAACAACCCACGCGCATCCCCAGGCGCCTCCTCCACATCGACGACCTCACCCTCCATGCCCAACTTGAGCTTCCGACAGACTGTTGAGCTCTCACAGAGGTTCCAGAAGTACTACAAGAAGTACGAGGAGTTGTACTGGCAGCTGACGGAGGCGGAGAAGCCCCCGACTGAGGCGCAGAGGAACGACCTCCTGAAGATGCACAAGAAGCTCGAGGAAATGAAGAGAGAGATCAAGGCGGGTGCCGTGCACCGATGAGCACCACACACTACCCGTCACTCACGACGCTGCGCTTAGTGCGCATACGACTTACTACATTACAACCTGCATATATACCCACGGCCTACCGATCTCATAAGGATGGCAGCGAATTGCATACCCACAAAAAGGTGTTTAGGATCTTTCCTACTGGCGGCGTTTGGATGGCAAGACCGGTCACGGATGCATTTGGGAAATGGTGTTTTTGTGTACTTTTCACTTTCCTTATTCATCAATACGTGTCGCCCACGATCGCTCTCTACATCCACGACTGCGATGATATCTTAATGCTGTCGGTTACAGAAAAGGATCATCTACGAACAATTGCATGGCGCAGTAGCTCTGTTTCAATCACTTCAAATCAATACCATCCCAGATGATGCAACCTTTCTCAACATGAATAAACTCCGTGTGAACTCTGTCCAGAGATGCCGATCACTTGGTGGTGCCTATACACTGCCTGAAGTCCGCTAACGCCACATGCTGGGTAAAGTTATGGATGCCGCAGCCTGCATAAATACCACATCCAGCACGTCAAGACCCCGAATACCAATATTAGGGACGACAGATCAAAAGCACTCATCTATAGCTGCGATGGCATCACAATCTAGATCGTCGCGCCGATCGCCGCTCCTAGGCCCGCTCCCCGGCAAAGACGCCCAACGCCCAGATCCCAGCCGCGGCCCACGATGGTGCAACAGCCGATCGCGCAGCTCTCGAGATCTGCGGCAGCTACCCCCCTGCCAAACGTCATCCATTCAGCCCTACGCGCTAAACCTCCGCTCTAACGCTCTCTTGACGCCATCTTGAGCACACCACCACCCGTCAAGCCGTCAACCATTGTGTGCACGTTAATAACTGCACGTGCTCCTGCCATCTCCTCACTCATGCGCTTACTACGTAATCTCCTCTCCAACTTTACACGTTCAGCACGAACAGCTCCGAAACGCGAATACGCTCACGTTCACGACGTGCAGATTAAGTGGGAAAGAGCGCCAGTCCAGAATCACGGGGAAAAGCAACCGGAAGAAGCCGGCAGTATGTCTCTAAACGGTACGTAAGATCACATGGTTGGTTCAATGGAGAAGAGGAGACAAAGACATCGGGATCCCGCATTGGGTCGTCTCAAGTCTCAACGTTCGGGATCCAGCCAAACGGTTACGCGACATCCCGATCCTGTGTTCATTTGCATGAAACAGTTTCGTCGCGGACTCGGGATCTTCAGGCACGCGTTTCGCAGTCTCAACGTCGTTCATGCATTGCGACGGGTGTTTGCGATTTGATAATGAATAGGCGGCATGTCCATGCTAGACATATACAAGGACCCCCATCACCAACCCACCACGGCTAACACACCACAGTCTTCAAGCAACCCCTCGCGCTCCACTCGACACAGCCCCTAACCGGCTTCACGCGCTCAGGCTACTGCGAAGTGCCCGCCTCGGACGCCGGCAACCACGCCATCGCAGGTGTAGTATCGAAAGAGTTCCTCGACTTCTCTGCCGCGCGGGGCAACGACTTGCGCCAAGTGGGGTTGACGGATGGCTGCAAGTGGTGTCTTTGTGTGAGCAGGTGGAAGGAGGCGTTTGATGCGAGGACGGGCATGGATGATAAGAAGGTGCCCAAGGTTGTGCTCAAGGCGACGAATGAGAAGGCGTTGAAGGGTGTGGCGATGGATGATTTGAAGGCTTTTGCTGTGGATAAGGAGTAGACGTAATGGGGTGGGGTAGATGGGCTGGTGTTGCTATGGGTACTACTGAATGGAAGACATCGTACATGGATGGAGATGCAGAGATCTCTTGGACCATGGCATGGCGGATATGCTTGCGTCGTCCCAATAGCTCGCAAACCTTTCTAGAAGCCAACAGCAGCCATCTCTTCTTGCACCTCATCACCCTTTTCGATATCCTCAATCCCCTCATCAAGCGCCACCTCCACATTCACCAGATCCTTCTCCGTCATCTCCATCAGCACCTCTGGATGCGCTTGCAGCTCCGCAATCCAAGCCTCAAACACCTTCTGAGCCCTCTCTTCAGCACTAATCTCAGCACCCGAGTTGACGGTAATGTCAGCGATGGCAGCAGTATCCTCGGTGGTAGCGTTGGCGATTCCGGTCGCATGCATCATAGTCTTCTCCGGCTCAACCAAATCCCTCCTCCCCATAACCCTCACACCGGCGTAATAAATCTTCGCACCAATACGGCACAAGTGTTTGTGCTTTTCCTTCCTGCATTGATCGTACATGTCCTCCTTGAAGTTCTTGTCGATCTTTTTGCGGGCTTGCTGTTGTGCGGTTTGATTAGTTTGTTGCTCTCGTGCATTGGAAAAGGGAGATGAAGAAGAAAAAACTGCGAGGGATTGTGGAAAGGAAGGAAGGGGGAACTCACATGACCCAGCCTCCCCTGGCGCTTGAAATTTCTATATGCAAAGTCATGGCGGATACACGCCGGTTTGACTACATGACGTTAGATCTTCATCTCTCTCTCTCTCCTCTACCGGTTAACTCACAGTCCCACTTAAACGGCCTGTCATCAACGCCTGTACAAGCATCCGTCACCCAGTCCAGACCCGTAACACCGTATGAGGCCTCATGGTTATGCCACATGTCCATGAAGTGCCAGAGAGGCTCGACAAAGACCATGTAGTTCACGGCCTTGGCTTCCAGGGTGTTAGCCGTCATGTCGTGCGCGAGTTCCGCGGCAGCTTTCTTCTTGTCTTTGTGGGCGGAGACATCGGGGATGAGGATGGCGGTTAGGGTGAGGAGGTTGAGAAGGGGGGTGTTGAACTTCATGATTGGCTGGTGGCTGCTGAGAATATTGATGGGAAGATGGAGGATCAAGGTGCTGGGAGGGAGATGTGGAATATAAATGGGGGCATTTTATCACGATACTGGGAGCGGTAAAATTGGGGTCAGGATTTCATGATGTATTCAGTCTGGCATGGAGGCTATTGGAAATATACAGTCCAGGTATGAAAGGGAGTCTTGATGACGATGGACGAGGGGGGAACATGACAGGTAGACGTGGATGACTTATCTTGTCTGGAAACCGATCCTTGAAAGACTACACGTATTCGCTGTGCTTGATCACGATGGAGAAGAGGGGAAGACGAGGAAAGGAGCGTGATGATGCATTTTGTCTGGAATTGAACCCTTCAGAATTACACGTATCCCCAATCTAGAGTTTGTAGAACCAAAGAATACACCCTTGGCGCCGACCAGAAACGCCCGTCGCTGATGCCTATAATAATGATAAAAACGCGACCGAATAGCACTGCGCCTTCTTATAGATGGCTGTTGGAGAACCACTCGATGCATGTCCTCGTGATCTGTATTACCCCTCTGTTCCCCATCACACGTCATGCACTCAACCAACCAAAAGACCCTTCACCCCGCTGCCAAACCAAACCAAACTCCTCGCAGCGAGTAGACCAGGGCCAGCATACGCGGGGGGACCCATGCCCTTGAGTCCACCCACGGCCCTGATTTCCAAATCTCCAGCCACAGGAACGTTAGTCCTGCCCTTTTGCAGAATAGCAAACCGGAGCAGCACCTCCAGACACGTTATGCAGATACTCAGGACAATGAGTACGATGATGATCCACGTAATCTTGGTCATCTTCTTGTCGCTGATGGAGTCGGAGAGGATCTCGCCCAGATCTAAGAAGACTTGGCATCGCTCGTTGAGAACTTGGATGCGGGGTTTGATTTCGAGGTATTCGCGGACGGCGGTGTAGAGTGGATGAAGGGTGGGTTCGGAGTCCCAGAAGAAGCTTGGGGTGTCGAGCATATTCGATGCTGGGAGAGGGGTTAGTAATGTTGGTTCGTGAGCGGGTGGCTCAATACGTACACAGGTTCACCTCGACACGGCTGGTGAAGAGTTGTCCAATCATCTTGACTACATCCGTTCTCCTCATGCCCAACTTTCCGGTAAGTGCTAAGCGCTTCGGTACGTATTGCGCGGCAAGCATCGTCCGGCTCATGCTCTCCTCAAACAGACTAAGCTTGGTGCTCTGCGCGATGGCATGGCTCATGGCTAGCTTGATCATGTGGTCTCCGCTCTTGAGGGTAATCATGTCATTGTAGACGCGGGGACGCTGGATCTCCGGGTTGTATTCGAAATGGAACTCTTCCGTCTCAAAGTCGGACTCGGCCAAGGGTCGGCTTGCGATGTTGATTCCGGTAGCGACGGCGGAGAAGGTGAGGTCGGCCAAGATGTCCTTCTCCTGCTTCTCTGTGAAGTTCCAGAAAACGACGACACCGTACGAGAAGACGAACATCTCGCCAAAGGTCAGCGCATTGGGGGCGATTCTGGAGTTCTCGGTCGAGTCTCGGCGGTCGTGCATGCCGTCCCAGGGCTGGTCGAGCTCGTGGTCGTCGCGCACGTAGTATGTCTCTTCGTCGCCAAAGTAGCCTTCGTGGTGATCGCGCTGCTCGTTGCGCTCGATCTCTTCGTCGAGCACCGTCTTTCCACCGGGGCTCTTGAGCGCCGGGCTACTGCGGACGCGGTAGCCATCGTTTCCGGGCAGCAGCGGGAGGTGGTATACGGTGTAGAGGCAGTCGTCGTACAGCTTGGTGCGCGCATTGTGGGTGTCCTTGACGAACTGGGCGGTGCTCTTCATCTTATAGGCCTGGGCGGTGCAGTAGGCCGTGACGCGCGAGAGCTTATCCGTCCGCTTCGCTTTGGGCAGGCGCTCGGCATAGCTCTTGTCGTTTGGGCCGCCCTTGGGGGTCCGTCGCGCGAGGTCTTCGTCGGTGGGCGGACCCTCGTACTCGTCGTCGTCAAAGTCGCCCTTCTCGTCCTCCTCCTGGCCCTCCGTCTCGGGTAGCAGGACGAGCTTTTCGCTGAGCTTGCTGGAGCGCGTGGGCATGTGCTGGGGGATGAGGCGGCCAGTGAGTCTGGGATCGAGCGGATGGCGGCCGCTGGGGGTGCGCGTGTGCATGATGGGGCGGTTGGCGTTGCCAGGTGGGCCGCGTCGCTGCTGCTGCGAGGGAATGTCCGAGGCGTACTGCAGGATGTTGTCCACCGAGATCAAGCGCGCGCCTGTCGCCTGTCGCTGTCCTGCGCCGGGTCGTTGGGGTGCTCGGGGTGCGGCGTCGCGGCTGTCGGTCATGAGCACCGTCGGCCCTCTCTTGCTCTTAGCTGTAGGCCCGCTCATTTTGCTGGTTGCTGCTATCCACTCCGCTAGTGCCTGTAGCTGCAAGAAGGTTTGGCACTGCAGGTATCGCGATTGCAAGCGATTGGAAGATCAAGGCCCTGGGGTATGGAGTGCTGGCAGTGGTTCCGATAGAGCTATACAGAGCGCGACTGGCGATGCGCGTACTCTGCCGATATTGGACGTAAGGTGCACTTCGACGTTGTGAAAGCCGGCCGCGGTTCACGTCATTGCGCCTTGGCGTGCATGCACCAACTCCACACCTAACGGCTCGCCAAACGTCAATCAGGGGTGCATACATCTCGCGCTTGGCTACTTTCACATGGCATTTGAGCATTGCTAACGATGAATATCAATTGGTGAGGTTATATCTCAGTTCAACTCGCTATTGATCGTCTCACAGATAACGCCTGAACACCATGCTCTAGACAGAACGGCCGTCCATAACCGGAACACGGCCAATCCAAGCATAGGTCAAAAACAAAGGAAAGCCTGCTGGAGGTCGGATGGCGACGAAGCGAGGGGGTATCTTCTCCATGTCCCCGCTGGTCTTGATTCCCTCCGCGCTTCGCATTCTGACAACGCCAAGAATAAACAAACATTACATGTGGTATCAAAACAAGCCACGCAGATGCACTGGCTCACAGGCGCTTGCCTGGAACGAAGATGAAGAGACAGCAGACGGCTACCGTGACAGCCAGGAACATGACCATGACAGTGATGGAGCGCCGGTTCAGCGTCTTCTTGACGAATGGCTCCCTGATCCGGTTGAAGTCGAAGAAGGTGTACTCGCTGAATCCAGCCAGGGCGAGGATTGGGTCAAGCATGTACTGGTGCGTGAAGATGAGGTAGATGGCGATAGTGAACGGGAGGATGATCTGAACAGAACATTAGTGGATTCTCCATGGTATAACCGAAAAGTGACATACCCAGCAGCGCGTGCTTCTTGACTTGTCAAGGAATATAAGAATGAACGATGTCCACATGGCCGCAAAGAAGCTGATCAGTCCTACTATAAGACGGAGCATCATGCTCTGGGGCACAAGGTTGCCGAGGCCCTTGTTCTGCAAGAAACCTGGGTATGCGTCGCGCTCCATGGCTTGGAAGACGTAGTCTTTGGCACTGTCAAAGAGCTCGGGATCCGCACGCTGCTCTGGCCCTTCTATGGCCTCTTGAACCTCGGTCAGGATACTCTGGGGAATTATTATTTCCCGCTCGGACCCGGGGAGCAAGTACGTGTACAGAATCTTCTCTGCCGACGCGCGCAGGTCCTCTCTGCTGGGCTGAGTGTTGTCGGCGGACGAGTCCTGGCCGGGCGAGCTCGAATCACCCGGAGTGTCTAGTAAGTTCAGGCTTGGACGCGGGAACTCTCGGCTCTGGTTGCTACCCTGACTGTTTTGTGGCGAGTGGTTGCGGCTGCCGCGGTCCGAACGAAGAAAGGCGGACAAGCGCTGGTCAGACAGATTGTCACCTTTCTCGTTAGAAGGGCCTTCTCCAGCGTTGTTCAACATGTAAGATGAACGCCTACTGTTTTTCTCGAGATCAGGAGTTTCTTCTATCATGCTCCTGTGTAACCGTCGGACGTAAAGCCTGCACAACTGCAGATGTTGCGACACATCAAGCCTGTTGGTGGTCAGCGTGATCCCCGAGCCTAGACATGGGATTGTCTTACCAGAAGTCCAAGTAGTCGACGGAGCGCTGCTGGTCGCGCATGTAGATGTAGAAGGAAAAGAGATCCAGCGGTGGCCTGGTTGTCCTACTGAGGACTTCGAAGAGCGTTGGGAATCGATTGCGGTGGGCTGGAGGCACCGGAGAGCCGGCATCCTGGGGGTGCGACATGACTGGGGTGAGTCGGGAGATGTGGTGTTAACGAGAGGCGCGCGACGATCGTCGCTGGTGGGTGAAGAATGGATGGCAGGTATCGATAGACGGTAGACGATAGACGCAGGGTCTGGCGTAGGCTGGCGGCGGGCGGTGTGTTTGCGTGGCTAGTGCTGTGGTTGCTGAGCGAACGGCGGCGAGCGTGGTGGTCCGGCCGGTCGCGACGCCAGGGACGACGTGTTGATAGACGGTGGGAAATGGGCGACGGTGGTCAGGTCGCGGGGAATTGAGCTTTGCGGCGTCGCGTCAGCGCCTCGGAGCGTCGTGAAGCTGGCGTGGCAGCGGGAAATTAGGAGTGAAGTCGGCACCTCTAGCTTGGCGCGACGGTTGGCGGAGCAGGGAGGCAGCGGCAGTGGCTTGCGATGGGCTTGGTCGCGCACTGCACGACGGCGCTGGTGTCGATAAGAAGCAACGGTCACATGAAACTGCCTTCACTGTGCTGCGTCCGACTCGCGTCCTGTGGATGAGCTGGTGGATCAGGTGTGCGCGGTGACGATGATGATGCAGCCCGGATGCAGCCCGTGTGCCTGAAACGCGAGGCTGTGAGGGTCGAGAAGGGCCGCGAATAGCTACTGCCTTTCCACGTGACTGTCCCTGCCACCCCAGCACCCAGCACCACCTGGACAGCTAACAAGGCAGCTGTCACCCATGGTAGGTGGAACGTTGAGAACACTGCGCAGAGGGCGGCGGCCGTATCTCTAGAAGTCGCTTGTCCAGCAACTGTGCTTTCTTTTCGCCGACCATCGTCCCGTGGCCACGCCAGGGACCCGCGTCACGGAGCTACTGCTTGTTTCTTCCAGGGCGACCAAGGCATAAGATGAGCAGGAAGTCGCTCCTGAGGGCTTTCACGCGTTCTTTGTGGGCGATATGCAGGAAATGCACGATAGACGCCTTGTGGCCTCCATGTCTCTCGTATGGATCGACGGCTTCCAGGCAGCAGTCAGCTGGTTTCACAGCCCGGCACAGCCTTTATAGTCCGCATTGATTTAAAACTTCATTTCAGCACATGCTTCCTTTGCGCGCATTCAGAGTTTCAGTGCGATTCCTATCAACAATGGCAGCTACCAGAGCCTTACCCGCAGACCTGAAGGAGGACCTGCTTCGCACCCACGAAGATCGGACATCCGTCCAGCCCAGCCCTCCGCCCTCCACATATACGCTGCCTGATGGTTTCCTTGAAGGTCCAGCGCCCAATTTGACCAGGTCCAAAATCGATTTCAAAAAGGCTGGCCTGTTAGAAGACGAAAAGTCATGGGCTGTCATACTTGATGGTGTCCTCTCCGAAGACGAGTGCAACACTTTAGTGCAAGCAGCCGAGGCGACCACAAACGGCAAGTGGGAAAGGGCTCTGGTCAACGTTGGTGGAGGCATGCAGGCTATGTATGAGGACACCAGAAAGTGTGGGCGCATTATCTGGGACAACAAAGAGATCATGGCCAAGCTATGGGCGAGGATAGAGGCGTCGGTGCCTGAGATCCATCGATTACACAACTGGGTCGACGTCACAGGCAACGGCCCAGCGCGACGGGGCGAGACGTGGAAGGTGACCAGACTCAATGAACGCGGGCGCTATCTCAAGTACATTGGCGGGGAGTATTTCAAACGTATGTATTGCATTGCATTTTGCCACTATAGCTGCTGACTAGATCAGCGCATTGCGATGGGACCTACGAAACGCCCGACGGCACCGAGCGCTCTTACTTCACCCTGCACCTCTACCTCAATGATGCGGTATCGAAAAGCGGAGAGAAACAGCTCGAGGGTGGCGCCACTACATTCTTCAATGGCAGTATGAAGAGCCGTATAGACGTCGAGCCAAAGGCCGGACGTGTCCTGCTCTTCCAGCATCGCTTCCTCATTCACTCGGGCGATGACGTTGTGAAGGGTACTAAGTATACGTTGCGGACAGACATCATGTATGCGCTGGAGAAGGACGTAGCATCGGAGCCGCAGGAGTAGGCGCTCCAGGAAGAAGACAAGAGGAACATCGCGCAGTAGTCGTAGGGCTTCGTTCCGTTGGATTCGCATGAGGTTTTATTAGCAGTATCCTCGAACCAGAGGAGACAGCGCAAAGCGCACTTACATAGTAAAAAAAAGGTGAACGGCCTGCCTCGCCAGAGTAATCAGAATCGAATGATACCGTGCCCTCTTTCGCCCTGAAGGCTACTCAAGGTCAAGTACGCTGCGTATTGTACTACAGTGTCACCTCTCACCCGAAGGATCGAAGCACACAATCTTCGCACCGACTCCCATAGGGACACCAGTTCCACGCTCCCTCCCGCCGAAGCAAGAAGTCGCGCTTTCTGGCGCCCTGAGTTTTCTGATGCCGGATGCAGACGTGAGTCACGCCAGGCTCTTACGAGCAGTACAGCCCACAAGTGGGCGTGATAAAAAGTGAAGATTACTCCGAATTTCTCATTTGCAGGGTAGGACGTGCTCTCGAAAGAGTGTCTGTAGGTGTGCAAAGAAACGCAGCGTTGGCAAGGCAGGCCGTTGGAGGAGTAAGGAAATAGTTTTTGGCGGGGTTTTGTAGCTGGCGCGCCGGCGCGCTAGTGCTCGGCTAAACTGCGCCCGTGACGCGGATCCACGTGGAGACTGCCCGCGTCTTTCCTCCGTGCCTACCGACCATGGTTTCTACTCATCTCTTTCCTTTGGTCACTCGTTGAATCTTGGGATATGCCGGGGAGTACTCCAGGGTCTGGATCATCAGATGTAGGCGGCTTGATGTGGCGCCCACACCACACTCCACCATTGGTCGCCTCTCGCTTTATTAACTGTACTATACGCAGCGATCACGACCAAGGTTCTTGGACTTGCGATACTTCTCTCTTTCGTAGAGTAACTCCTTGCGTATGATTCGTATGCAATGCGCGATGTGCGGTTGGCTCGTCGCTTCTGGGTCACCGCAGTAATTACGAGTGAATGCTCTCTCAATTTCACCTCATCTTTCACTCTCCAACAACTAGAGTTATTCCACAATGCGCCCTGTCCTTCAAACCTTTTTGCTCTACATTGGAGTGGACTGACTCATCTGCACGACTATTTAAACTCGCGTGGCCTCTACAACAGCTTCCCAAACTCACCCCACAACCTAAACAACAACCATGTTCGAAAAGCTATTCGGTGTTACGAAGAACACCTTCCTGGAGAAGAATGTCGTTCGCGCTGGCGAGAACGACAAATACTACGAAGACAAGTGCACGTTCTGTAAGTACTTCCCCCTATCTTGATATGTAGCTATGTACTAATATTCTTAGGTTGGGGTCCATACGACGAAGATCATCGCGCTGTGCGCGTGCAGCCTTGCGATCACGTATTCGGAGACGTCTGCCTCGAAGACATGATCGACGCCCCGAATGGAGACAAATGTCCCATCTGCCGAGCAGTATGGTTTCAGCCTCCTACTCAAGTTTTCCTCTGGCGTATCCTTCTGGACAACTTTGTGCGTCTGCAAATTTGGGCAATATTCGCCTTCAGTCGACTCCAGGCGTTCTGGTACACACTCCAACCGTTCTGGTATAGACTTCCAGCCTGGATCAGGTTTCCTGTCAAGGTCGTCAACTCCTGGTTCTACATGTCGAACGTGTGCTACCAGATCGACTTCGTTTTACAGCGGCTGACCGACATATATCCGAGGAACCCACTCTTGCAACCCCAGCTGGCTCTGGGGATGCGGATTTACGCGATGGTTCAAGCCCTGTATGTTCATCTCATGATTTCATCAGGACGTTCCAGAGCCTTGGCGGTGAAGACCAGCATTTTCTACCTAGTAGACGAGCTTTTCCAGACGCCATGGCAGTGGCAGAAGCTTCCAGTGCTGATCCTCTGGGCCATCGCAATAAGCGCACCCGTGGGTTGCATGGACCTTCGACTATCGAGTCGGCGCGACCGTGTGATCTTCTCAACGACCGTATTCTCGGTTATTTTGGTTCGCTTATGCTTTGCTCAAATCGTAATAGCTTTGCTATACGGGGGGACCGTCTACAATCCGTCGATTTTTGGAGTCCAACTCCAATCATGAGGGGGTTGGTCTCGAGCGGCAGAGGCACGAGGATGTTTAAGCGTCGTTTATAGGCATCCACTTGCAATAAGCGTACTTCTACGCGTTGAGGTAAATTAGTATTCTGTATCATAATTATGTTCCTTGGTTCCACCACTCCGTTGTCCAATATGCGCAAAGAGCCCTCTTCTCATTCGTCCAGCGTGCAAAACTGATTCGATGGTACCAACCATTTCCAACATCATCCTCATCCGTGGTTGCCCACCGCTCACCTATACTTAACACTCCCTTGCATTCCGTGCTCTACTAAACGAACTCTACAGACCTACCACCCAACTAAACACCAGCCATGTTCGAAAATTTCCTCGGCCTGTACGTCTCCAGAGACGAATTCTTGAATTGGCGGACCTTCCCGGCGGTACCGACCGACACATTCAACGACAACACATGCTGCCTCTGTTGGGAACCCTATGACAACAATACTCACGCCGGGATGCTCTTTCTTCCCTGCAACCACGTTATGGGCCGAGACTGCCTTGCCGAGCTCGTCAAATCTCCTGGTGGACATTTATGTCCTATATGTCGGTGCCAGCTGTTCGATCCGCCATTTGCTGTTCAAGAGAAAGTCGGCCAGCTGTTCTACGCTTGTGGCGTAATTTTCGCCGTTCTGATGGTTATGTTCATGGCGGTTGCGGCACTTTTCCTGTTATGCGATGCTGTGATTTGGATAGACCTTATGATGAATGGGCGGGGTTTGAGTGGCACGTTGGAGACTCTGCGATAAACATGTTGTATGCTTGGAACACCATGTTCCTGCGGTTTTAGGCGCTGGTCGACTTCGCTACACAAGGGGAAACAGGATTAACACACGGCTCCGGGAACGACAAACGCGCGAAAACCGCGACCTGCGTACGAGGAGTTGAATCTCAGCGAACCCATCCACGATGCGCATGGAGGCGAACAATACTATTTCCTACCACACCCTCGACCCATTCTGCGACGCCGACATCACTTGAGATCTGACACCATTCTTATTCTCCCACGTTCCCCAATTCGTCCCAAGCCTACCGCCACCGTCCCCAACCGACCTTACCGTACGACGACGCGCTGCATCATAACTCGATACCGCCGGCAAACTGTTCATCGGGAAGTCTGGTGCAATAGTCGTCACGTTCAGATCAGGCGGCGCACTCGCTTGCCACTCAACTTTGATGGAGTTGTCTTTCGAAAGCTTGACACCGTTGTGCCAAAGTTCGAAAGATACATCAGCGGGCCCGAGATTGACTTTGACGACGTAGTTGATGCGGTGGTATTTCGGGCCGGAGTTCCACCAGTGTCGGTTTTTGAGTTTGAAGAGTGAAAGTGGGAGGGATGAGAAGTCGGATTCGATCTTGCAGATTGAGCGGCACGCTGGGGATGTTAGTATCGTGTTTCATAATGCCGGGGATATACACTTACTATTGTTCTTTACTATGGGTAGCTGAGACTTGTCGACTTCGGTGTATATTACTTCCGTGGGGTAGATTCTCGGTGGGTTGGGGTTCTTGGATGAGGCTGGTGGGCACTTTCGTTGGAAGCTCTTCACTATCGGGAAGTCGCTTGAGACCGGTTCGCCCTGACCTAGTCAGCGTCTCGCGACCGCGGTGGAGATATGTCTTGCGCTTACCTGCTTAATAAACCAGTCGATGCAATCCATGACGTATTCCTTCTTGTCCAAAGGATCTACTTCCGTCCTCAGCCCAAAGTGCGCAAGGTTGAATGGGTCGTACAATATTTTGCACATGGTACCGTATGATGCGCGACTGCATCGCCACCCTAAAACCGACTGTCCAGACTTGAGCTTCTGCACACGGTCGGCTACGTTGCCTTTGCAGACCACGAGTTGAGGATCAGGAGCGATTCGAATCTGCATGTGCTGCGCGTTGGAATAAAGTGTGCTGCCAAATGCGTATCGGCTTCGTAGACAGTTTTGAACGTACGCGGAGTTCCCGAGGCCACCGGAGAGGACGAGATGAGACTGAGATTGGTAAGAACATGAACTCAAAGCAACATGTATCGTTCGACTCACCACTTGTTCCAACGGGAACTTCTGAAGGAGACGAGCGAGCTGTTTGTCCATCATGGCAAAAAGCTTGGACACCTGAACGTCGAAGAAGCCCTTCAAATCGTCGCTATGTGGCTGTCAGTCGATGACAACAACAAGAAGCGCACGCGTGAGTCTGACCGTCGGAAGTACATATCGCCGCCGCTGATACCGCATTCTCGATTGTCGTACGCCTTGTCGAGCTTGGGTACCTGCACCGCAAAGGTCTCAGTATCCATCAAAGATTCCTCAGAACCGTAATCGCATTTTGCACTGGACGGTCAGTTACGTTGCTTCCACTCTAATTCGTGGAAAACACGAACTTTTGGTATTCTTTCGAGATGCGCATCTCCCATGCGGCCTGGTTGATATCCGAAAGTCCCATTGGCTGTAGTCGGTCGGCATTCTCTAATCGCCGTAGAACTTCTTTCTCGTATAAGCTGTCGAGCTGCGCGGCTCCGATGGTGGCACCTCCACGGAGTCAGTCAAGACTGGGTGTGTTGTCATGGACAGACTTACCGAACACGACGTCGATTTGTTCAAGACTAAAAGAACCATCTTGCGTTTTCTTCACTCGGAATACTGATAGATCCTGTACCCGTTTAGCCGCCTAGCCACATGTTGGCGCTTGAACACTGGCTCACCGTTGTACCTCCGCCCACGTCGCAGACGAAGAGTATCTCGTTCCCCTGTTGGCAACGTTATCTTCTGCGCGGGAGCACCGAGATTTGCTACGCGGCTCACCTTGAAGATACCAGGCATACTGCGCGCTGTATGTACCGCGGCTGCCTCAGCCTCCGTCAGCCCTATCGATGCTGTGTGGTTGGCGTATGACCCAAAACCCGCCGCAGAGATCGTCTTTCGGAACCTCTCCACAGTGGGTATCGGCTTCCATGTCGTGGGTACTGAGAAGATGAACTCAATGTTCGCGTCTTCCCAGCGGCTCGCGAGCTCGCCTCGTAGTCGTGCCTCGATCGTTCGGTAGAGGTAGCTGAAATAATCTGTGTACCTGTCCAACCATTAGCTCGCCACGAGGCTAACTTCTAGAAAGCGACTTACCATTTTTCTACTTCGTGAATATGTGGTACCTTCGATGGCTCACTAGAGTTGGATCTCATCTGTTCCAGTAGGTCTTCGTCGAGCATGATCTTGAACCATTCTCTACTCTCGTGCCCTGCGCCACTACCCTCCTGTGCGGTTTCGGCAAGAAACCCCCATGATGACGGCGTTTCGGAATTTTGTGGGTAAACAAGTAAGGTCGGCACCTCCAATTCATTAGTTTGGATAGTACAGTACGCGCCCAGCGACCTAACCTTATTTTCGTTTGCTTGTGTCCGGCCAGGCCATCGTTGGATATGGCGCACACTATCGGATCCGGTCGCTACGTTGCAATATGCGACACCAGTGCCTGCGGACTCGGTGAGCATTGATATACTACTAAACTGCGAGTCGCTACTTACATGTCATTCCGAAGTCGATGGAAACGACTAAGTCCGGTCGGGATTGGGAGTGTTCCATAATGAAAATGTGTCTAGTGTGTAACAGCGGTTCAAGCAGTACAGCTTCGCGTGGGCTCGATATTGCGTAGCGATGCTCATCAGGTATAAACGCCCGGTGCAAGATATGGCAAGGCTGAGATATGCCGGCATTCCCTGTTCAGCCATTGGAAATATGTGCTTGGCTCAGCCTCACGCCTCAATTCAGCCGACGGGTCGAGACCAGTCTCAAAGAGTACAACGTGGGGCTCGCTGCGATGCCAATTTATTTGCGGCGGTGTCGCGCGAAGTTCATTTGGTGAGACAGACCGATGTGCAGCACAGAAACGCCACGCAGTCCCGTGCTGATGACTGTTTCGATAAACTTACATTCGGACCCCACACCATCATAAAGCTTGACAGCCCGTTGCGGACGCCAACCCCGTCAATATTTACCATTTCCGGCGAATAAACAATGTGATCAAAGCTTTGTAGTCTGCACTACTGTTGTACAGCTGAAGCATGCATATCTCTGATCGGGCTATGCTAGTGAGTTGCAGTACGCGTACCTTATAGGGCGAAAGTCCAGCTACGTTCAAGGGCTTTCCACCGTCTTGACACCTCTGTCAGTTCCAAATCGATCGTAAGTGAGTACGTCCAACATGAAGTTCGAGCCGAGACAGGACCCGCCAACCCAGCCAACGGCACCTGGAACAAACCAGGGGCAAACGCCTGCTGCGACCAAGACAGGTGAACCAGGATCGTCCTCAGGATCAACATCATCGTCATCGTCTACAACGGTGACTGAGGTACCCACCGCTACTACGACGCCCGTCACAGTTCCGCAGGGAGTGGATACAAAGACTGTGACTTCGGAGTGCAGCTCACTGACATGGGATCCGGTATTGAGTACGAACGTCTGTCCAACACCAACCACTGGACAGCCCGTTGGAGAAACGACAAGTCCTGCGTCCACGACAAGTTCCATTGCACCCAAATCGACTATGGGAAAAACTGGGGGTATCCAGACTCCGACAGCGTCTGCCGGCTCATCGCCGGCTTCAACAGGAATCTCAGGCGGTGCAGTGGCCGGAGTGGCGATTGGGATGTTGCTCGCCGGGTTTCTGATCGCTGGAGCCGTATTCCTGTTCCTGTTACGCCGTCAGAAGAGAAGACGATACAATCCAACGCTAGCTCCACCACCGCCGCATGCACCCACTAGCAACGCTGGCGGGCGACTGGAGAAAGGCACGGCAGTTGTTACGAGTGCCTATGCTACCGATATCGACGATATGCTACCTCAGCCTGCATCAGATGATACTATCACCGACGCAGCCTTGAAGATACGGGACAACATCAAGAACCACGTTCGAGAGTTTTACCATGTTTCTCCCGTCCCGACAGGCAGTATCAACCAGACAAATATGAAAGAGCTGGCGATTGCAACTGGCACAAGCTCTTCCGTACTTGCAAGCATGCTCTCGAATATCTCGACCCGAGCCGAAACGCTTCGCCTCATTGTAGCCTGGAATGTGCTCTCGAGATGCACTGGAGAACGCGTTGAGAGCTTGCTTCCGGGTGAGCTTGCGCCGCTCGCGTCAGCCGTTCCTGGGAAGGACGGTAAGAATGCCGGTAAGTTCATCCCAGCCTTGCGAGTTCTGGAACAGGAAGCTAACTTCACAACTCAGCGCAATCAGCCATGTACAGCAAATGGAAGGCCATGACTGGTGCTCTCCTGCATGGTCGAGTTGGTCAGGATACGCAAGAGCGATTCCAGAGATTCGCTAGTGCGGCTGCAGACCTGGATGCCGTCGTGGCGCCCCTCGTGCAGAGTGGCTTGGAAGCTCAGCGCCGCAAGAATTTGGACATGATTCTTGCGCGATCGGCAAACTTCGCGTTTCTACTCTTTGAACAGCCCGGAGTATTTCGGTTTGGATTTTTTAGCGAACATGGGGGGTTGGCAGTATTCCCAGCACTGCTGCAGACAATTGGAGACCAGGGGCAGGTGCTGGTGCCGTCACGCGTGCTGCTGGAAAAGGAGATTGCGGCATGAGAATGAGGTGTGGTGGGGCGAAAATGGCGTTTCATCGATAGTTTATGCAGTATGCAATGCAGCCATTGATCAGCTGAGATGCGTCGAGGACATGACAAAGGAGTGCGGGCGGAAACGCACAGGAGGAAGGGACGAGGCTGAAGAGCGAAGTCGATGCTTGCTTTTGCACTAAGCCCCATGCGTCTTAGCGCCAGTGCCACCGGCGCGGAGAAGGAGCGTCCCTTTCTGCTCCGTCCAATCTGCGACTCGCCATCGCGACACACGCAGCAGCCACTCGGTCGTGAGATACATAACTCGATGGGCTCGACCATCTGGTATAGGCCCGGCATCATGGCCCGCGGAGCAATGACCCTATGTTTAGGCGCAGACGCATGAGCTCAGCCCGTGGAAAGAAGCATTGAGCTGCAGATCGGTTCTCGAAGCACTGCGACACAGCATGAGGGGTATTCCAGTACCCGCAGGTTCAGCCTTGTTGGTGCTTTCGCTGCTTACAGAGTGTTGGGGGTCTATGAGCCGCCCACCGGCAGCTGTCATGCTCGTGAACTTGTTCTTCACGACCTGCATCTCCGTTTCGTCATGTGCATCAACCGCCGTTGAGGAGCTTTTCCATTACTGTTCAAACTAATCAAGGCCTCATAATATGAGCGGACTCATAGGTATGGAAGCTGTACGATCATAACGCAGCGCAGGGCTTACTATGTAGCAGGAATTCCCACGAGATCCGCCAGTGTCAGCAAGGCGTTTCAGTTCGCTGATCTTGCGATACGTAGCGCAGACATCGGAAGCGAGAGCGAAGTTTTCTTGCGAACAATACGAATCGTCCGTAACGACCTATCCGAGGTTGAGCGTTTGGTGGCCGTTGGCTCAGTACGAACCAAACTCGCACAGACACCAGAAAGATCTCCTTGGATAAGGAGTTGCATCGAGAACACCACTTCTGCCTTGGAGGAGATCGGTAGATGGGTGGATTGTGGCAGTATCGGGCAGCATCGCAATGTCTTGGAGCCAGCTCAGAAATTTCAACATATTCTCAATGACCGAGAACGATTAGCGGACCGCAAAAGCGAACTCATGGCATGCCATCAGCAACTTTCGAATGTACTCAGCTTTCTCAATCGCTTGGAGGACCTACCAAGCACTAAGGAGCTACCCACATATCAAGACACCACCTACTTTGATGACATCGTGTCGCGACACAGAAGATCAACCGGCCAGGCTCGACTGGATGATGGTTCCGCGAAGTTCTTCTTGGGGGACAGCAATCGAACGACATCTTACCCTGCCACCAACGTTCCGTGGCCAGCGAACCAAAAGTCGTTCCTTACCGAAGCACCATACACACAAGACGCGTCGACCATAGATGCGGTGAAGTCCACCCTACGATCGTTATGTGGACAAATGCAAGTAATGCCAGACCACCTAGACTACAAACCATACAACTCGCGATATCAATCGCCTCCTAGCCTACCAAGCAGTCCGCCCCCTATATATACATCGGCTGAACAGCGCAGCCCCCGCTCGGAAACATCGCTCGAAGATACCAAGCGTCATCTTAGTATTGATCAGCCGATTCATGGAAGCTCACGCTCATCGCTGATTCAGGCGCATGACGATGCGCATATCATACCACCAGCCCGAAATGACACATGGGCCTATACGTATCCAGAGACGCATCAAGCGCCAGCAGAACTGGCGGGCGACAGCTTCATGAGTGGCACAAACTCAGACGGACCAGTAAATCCGTATGCGTTCCATCCTACCGCGCCAACTCTAGCCCCAAGACCCCATGTATTCCAGGACAAGAAGATTGAGATACTATCGGAGTTGTTGGGGGATGTGAGTCTGGCAGTAGAGCTGCCAGGTAGCGAACCAGCTCATACTTCGAGACATAGTCAACGGCTCAGTTCGCAAACGACTAACTATGAGCTGCCTGCGAGCCAAGCATACAACACAACAATTGCTTCAGAATTACCGGCTATCCCGAGACAAAGACCTGTCATCTCGCATACGGTCAGCGAACCAACCGCTACCGCCAACGAAACATCAGTCGCGCCGCCGAGATTCGAGCTTGATTCTGTCTCCTCCCGAACACACCCTTCTCTGGCCACACGAGGTCAGGCTGAGACCGGTAGGCCTTGGTCTGTGTCTTCTGCCTCTTCGAGCCCACGACTACCGGTGAGCAGCACCGTATCTTTGAACAATGCAACATACGCAGCTCCACTCGCGCCGCAAGCAAGCCATGGTCATGAACGGCCCCTATCATCGCATACGCCGCAGTCATCGGTCAACACATCATCGGCAAGGATGAGACGTCAGAAACATATGTTAGATCTACTTGATAGCATTGATAGATGACATGACTAGAGTGAACAATGGTCCCATGATACCAGACAGCGAACAATAGACCTGATTCGAAATGACTCCATCGCCACACAGCGTGCACACTGTCTAGCATCTCAATCATCCCGTTTCTTAAACACTCCAACCTCATACTCGTGTCCATCTTGCATCAGTTTAACCTCCAGCTTCTCCAACGGACCTTCATTCATCGACTCCGTTACAAGACCAGGGAGGGCGTTGTACGTCTTTCGGGCCAAGATCTGCACATCTTGCGCCTCGTTCCTCAGCCCGCGGGCTCCGGACTTGTCCCTGTATCCTCGCTTAGCCAAGTGACCACAGAGCTTGCCGTCGTCTTGGTAGCTGATGTGGCAGTGTCCCATGTGTCGTAGAACTTCAGGGCGCAGATCAATGTTCTTGCGAACCTTCGCCGCGTCGTCGAGGAGAAACTTGTGCGTTACGACAGCTGCCTCACCATGCGAGAAGGGGAAGAACGGAACGATTCTGTTGATGCGAGATGCGAATGCGTCCTGTTCACGTTAGCCATTTGTTGTCGTGGTGATCAAGGTTGGATATCATACTCCCCAGCGGCCTTCGAAGATATCCTTGAGATTGCGCACGAGGGGCGCTAGATTGGCGTTCTGCTTCTCCTCGTCTGTTAGGTGCTTAATTTTCCGTTCGTAGTACGACTTGATCTCCTCTTGACCCAAGTTGCTCGCCAGTACCCATATAGTCTTGCGACAGTCAACCTTGCGATTGTTCCTTCGGTCGACATATCTACCTGCCTTTTGTGTTAGTTGAAAGGTATACCTTAGAATACAAGGAAATTATGCTGACCTTCCGTGGTGTCTAGAATCGCGTCACAGACTTCTTGCGACGTCTTATCGAACTCATCGAGGAAGACCACCGTACATTTGCTGGTGTTATCTGACAGGAGATTATTGAGCCTGGAGCCCTGCGATGAACGTTGATGGGCTTCTTTTCCGCCCAGGAGCTCAATGTCGGAGTGCATTTGCGAACATGAGATCGTTTCGGATTTGACACGCAGTAGATCTCCCAACCTGTCAGCAAGCTCAGTCTTTCCATGTCCAGGAGGGCCAGCAAACACCATAACGAAGGGTTTTGGACCATCTTGATTGGCGGCTATCTGGTTGAAGATCCGCTGCTGCATGTCGTGAAGCACAGGAAGTTGGCCGACGATATGATAGGGGAGCTTTAGAAGACCATGCACCTGTAAGAGTTTGGCGGCTTGTAGTTCTCTGACTTCGAATGGCTGGATCAAACTGGCTCGATGAAGATAATAACGCTGAGTGAGATTGAGGCCGCGTGCTAGAACGGCTCGGGTAGACGGGTCGCACCACGTAAGAGGCGAAGCCCTCTCGTTTTCCTGGGATGACCAGGTCTCCGAAGGTTTTCGCAGGTAGTCTTGCCACATGTCCTGGGGAATCGTCTTGGGATCAGCGCCACCCGCAAGTAATAGCTTTACGATCGTGGTCGTATCATGTAGGTGGATATGACCATGGATGACCGCAAAGGCAAGCGCCGGAATGAAGTGCGTCGCGTCAGTGCAACCCTCTGGATTGAAACCATAATCTAGAAGGACGTTGACCAGCTCAGGCGAGTTCCTTCCGATGGCGTAGTAGAGGACGGGCGTAGCCTGATCGACTATTTCCTGGAACTCCTCCTTGTCGTTGCGATAGTGCTCCAGATACTTCCTCACTGAATCAGCGCTGCAGCCGTGTGAGATTGCCGTACACAGTTGGATCGCATTGAACAGTGCAGATCCTCTGGCTTCCAGGAGCTCGGCGTCCACTGTCATACCAGGGGAGTTTCTTGAAGCATCTGGTAGATGGTATTTGTCCTTGAGACCCATGATGTACACACACATCTTGCCGTGGTTGAAGGTCGCCATTCGTGCTGATGATCGCTGAATTGCTTGAGGAGATGGTTATCTTGCATAGGTTACAGCGTTGGGACTTATGTAGCAGACAGATCCAACCAGTCAAAGCGAGCCAAAAGTCAACAAACATTGAGAAGGTTCGGGAAAGGAGATGATGATGGTAGTAATGACGCGCACCGCGAAGCTCTGCCTAGACCCTACAGATACGAAATGCAAGTAAATCGACGGGTCGAGTTGGGTGTGCGTTGTGATTGGGTATTTCGGTAAGCGGCATATGTTCGCTGGCTGGAAGCACTCATTCCTCGGCGCCCTCCATTTCGACATCGCCTTCCTCGCCCTCTTCTTCCTCTCCGCCTTCGGCCCACCAAAGAGTCGGACCGAGACCAGGCTGAGCCATGGAGCCCTAGAGCTCACGTTAGACGCTATCTCAAAAGCTGATAGCACACAACTTACTATTATCTTCCAGGCCGTCGGTCTCTCTTCAATGATCTCGCCCTTCTCGTCCTTTTCTATAATGGTCGGCCTCTGATCATACCACTCTTCATGCTCTACCCTGAATAAAACTGGCTCGCCTTTATCGAAGAAAAGTTCTGTGCCTTCAGAGTTCCAGATCCACACCATCTCAGCTTTAGAGAAGGACGAGTTCTCTGGTAGATTTTGGTAGGGAACGAAGACTTCCGATGTGAATTCCAGGTCAAGAATGATGCCTTCTTCGTTGGATGACTTGATCCGACCGTAGATGATTTCGCCACGGAATGGGCGGAAGACAGTCATGCGGAATTCAACTGCGCTGCATGTAAGCGGCGTTTTCACGAGGGACGTAGTAATACCTACTGTTGACATTGACAAGCCCAGTCCCGTGACCGATCAAACCCTCGGTCGCGGAAATAAGATCCCACATGCAGAGGCATAGGCCAATGCCAGGAACGATCCTATTGCTGTACTTGTCGTTGACGACATCTTTGATAGCTTGCGCGCTAGGCTTCTCGAAGTCCTGCGGCTTGATTTGTATCAAGTCTTGAATCGTGGTCTATGCAAGAGTCAGTACAAGATCCACAATATGCGCACGACGCGATCCACGGCGACTGCTGTACGCGTAGTCATAGCCAAGTCATGTCTTTCTCATCCGCTCAAATTTTCTGACGCGCAGCGCGAAAGCGCGTAGGCGATGAAGACGACAATGGATTTGGGAGCAACTTACAAGTATGAACATGATCGCAGCTTTGGAGGCTTCATGAGTCTAAGAGCAGAAAATCGGTGGCTACCTGGACATGGCGGATATAAACAATGGAGTTGATGGTGAGAGTCCTTTGGGTGACCACTAGCGCCGCGCTAGTGGTATCGATAAGGAACTTTTGGGATTTGCGGACTCCCGAGGCGCGTCGCATGTCCTGCAACAGCCTTCCCAGCGTATTCGCGATTTCCACTCTGCCATCATTCGCTTCTTGTAATCATTATACCTAATGTCTTAGCACTTCTATACGCGCGCAACACGAACTTTCTACCACCACAATGTCGTCCTTCAGATTTCCTCCTCCGCCTCCACCGCCGCCGAAGGCTACATCCAGCGAGCAATCATACGCGAGTCAACGGGGCGGCTCTGCCCGAGGAGGCGGTGATAGGGGTCGCGGGAGAGGCGGCAATCAAAACCGTGGAGGGGGCTTCAATAGCTCTGGAGGCAATCCAAGAGGAGGTCATGGGCAGAGTCGCGGTCGCGGAGATGCGCGCGGCAGAGGAGGCCAGCGAGGAGGTTATCAGAACAACAGAGGCGGCGCAAATAACAGGGGAGGTTATAATGCCGGTAACGGACAACATCAGACGAATGCGCCGTCCAACGGCGCCTCTCCAAATGCCTACAACAATACGTCCTTTGCCGGCGGCGCGCAAACACATGGCGCGACACAGCAGCAATACGACCCCAACGCTCTCGCCCAGGTCATGTCCTATATGTCGACACCGGCCGGCGTACAATCGATGGCAGCGTACGCCAACCATATGACAAGCACAGGCAACGTCCCCCTTCCCCAGTCACCACAGTCCCATCAGTACCAACCGAGCCCTCAGTATTCGCCGCCTCAACACGCCGGTCAAAAGAGAAAACTGAACGACCGAAACAGCAATGCACAACAGCAGCGAAACAGCAATGCACAACAGCAGCGAAACCAATCGCAGCCAAGTTCGAAACCACCGAGGGCCAAGGCCGCCGTACCCCCACAGGTACCTAGCTTCGGCTTCTCCCTGCCTCCACCTCCCGTGGTACGACCGGACAATAAGAAGCGTAAGGTCAATCTAGGACTTTCGAAACAGCCGGTTCCCGACGAGAGTAGCGATGAAGAGGACATCGACGAAGAAGCCGCGTACACGGAGAAGCTCAAGGGCGGAGGCTTCGCGTTCGAGCATGGAGGAGAGATGATCAGCATTCAAACGGGAGCTGAGGTCGCGGCATGGATCAAGGACAGAAGAAGAAACTTCCCCACACAAAAGAGGATCGTGGAGAAGGCGGAGGAAGCCGCGAGGAAACGAGCAGCCGAGATAGACTTTTTGCGCAGAGTCAGCGGCAAGCCTCCGAGAGAGCACCACGTCGACGACCAGATTCAGCAACCGAAGCCCCGCGAAAGGAGGCAGGAAAATACGATCAAGAAGGAAGACGGCGCAAGACGTGATGCCGAGAACCGCAGACAAGAAGAGCTCGCGGCTCTACGGAAGAAACTCCACGAGAGCATGATAAAGAAGCAATCTGCGCCGAGCGTGGTGGATCTGAGTTTAGGATACGAGAGCGAGACAGAGTCTGAGGCCGAAAGTTCAGTGTTATCAGAGTCATCTGTGGTATCAAGTTCCGAAGAGGAGGAAGAGGAGTCCGAGCCCGAGTCAGACGACAGCGACGAAGCGCCAGAACCCACATCTTCAAAGATTGCTCCACCAGTCATTCGGGTTCCTCCTCCCCCGCGGGCACCAGTCGCGGCAAAGAAGGAAACGAGTGTGTGTAGCAATTGGAAGCGCAATGGGAAATGCCCGTATCTCCGCAAATGCAAATTCCAGCATCCTCCAAAGGAAACAAAACTACAGGGATTGTACGAGCGCATGGTAGAGCAGGAGCTGGTCAAGGCAGACCAATTGGTACTCGACGCTATCAAATACTTGGGACAGCATGGGTTCTTGGGCTAAGCGATGCTGAACGGGCATGGGCGCAGTGCTCCGATAGTTCATTCTCCAATGACATATGTACAACCTTGGTTCCCTACCCATACTTCGTGCACCTTGTTCGCATCGACATCCCATCTGGCGCCGGGACCTATTGTTTCCTTCGTCGCGTCGGGGTCATCAGGGTATGTGTATGTTATAGAGCCATTGAGTACAAGATGTGTCGTCTTCCCGCTGTGCTTGTGTGGCGAGTAGTGCGCATTGCTACGAGGAAGTTAGTCTACATTCAATGTAGTAGAGCGATTGTTACTCACGGGCTATCGGTCCACGTAAAAACATGGTCGAAACCCCAAGATCGGACTTCGCTCTCTGCTTCTTTCCGTGACTTGACCATTGTGAATGTGATTTGCGTCAAGAATGTCAGTGATTATCAAATGATGATATCTTTGGCCATGCTGGACCCTGAGTGACGTCGGTGGGCTTGGCGAGGCTGCAGAGGCGCATGCCAAAGCTAGACCCTTTTCACTCAGCGCCGCAAACAGGGCAGCCCCCATTCATTCACCTTGCGCATGCAGCAAACGTCGGAAGTTGCGTGTCAATGTCCAGCAGGTATTAGCGATGAGCGTGCTCCACCAATTGGATGATCAAACGCCGGTGCGGCAAGCCAAGGCAGGCACGAGCTGACCATGAGGCTATTGTGCCCGCGTCAACGTCGCGGCCCGCACCCCTCATACCTTCACAATTAGATCCCGCTACCACTCCACAAAGGCTTTGTAGTCGCGAAACTAAGTTGCGCATACTTTTGGTGCGTATTGTATGTATGTTAACGATGCCCGTCCGTCAACCAATTGCGCAATTAGGAAGGAGATACTGACACCTCAGAGCTAGCTGAGCTGCCTGAATTCAGCCATTACTCAGGCACGCATACGCGTTCGGGACCATACACCGCTGCCACTCTGCACGTTGCTGCCGCCTATAAACCCTTTCGCCGCCCCTCCTGACTTTATTCTCCCTTCGACCCCGCTGTATTCGTAACATCAACACAAGATGTTGCCCGACAAAGACAGCAAGAAAGACAGCAAGCTGGGTACGCCCAAGGTCGACAACCCCGAACTTCAAGCAGGCGGTGGTACAGCATCCGCCTCTGTTGCAGCTCGCAAGGTCGATGCCTTATCACCACTCCTTACGCAACACCTCAAGAGAGTCTACGACCAGATCACAACGCGCTACGACTTGACGACAAAGAAAGGGCAACAGCAGTGGCTGGTTGAGGAGCAGGAATGCTCAGGACAGAACGCTGAGCTTCTGGCCGACGGCTCATTCTCCAACTTCGCCAACTACTTCATGTCGGGCTCAGCAAGCGTCCTGAAGCCTGCGCAACCAGTCGACGAGTCGCATCCCATCTCCAACTACTTCATCTCATCGAGCCACAACACATACCTTACCGGCAATCAGCTGTCAAGCGACGCCAGCATTGATGCCTACAAGAACGTCCTGATGCGAGGATGTCGCTGCGTCGAGGTCGATGTCTGGGACGGAGACGAGCTTTCCGACTCCAGCTCTGACGAGGAAATGGCGAGAGGCAACCCAGGATCAAATGATGCCAGAAAAGACAAGAAGAAATCAAAGTCCGGTCTCAGCATTCGTCAAAGGCTAGCCCAGAAGTTTGGCAGCAAGGACAAATCCGAGGAGGAAGAACAAGAGACTTCAGAGCCGCCTCACGAGGACGCCAACAAGGTTCAGCCCTGGCATTCCGCTTCCTATACATCGAGAGCCGAGCCTAAGGTAACCCACGGTTACACTTTGACCAAAGACATGACGTTTCGCGCGGTGTGTGTAATCATCAGGGACTACGCATTTGCTGTGTCGAACCTGCCCTTGATCGTCAGTCTCGAAGTACACGCTAGTCCAGAGCAACAGGAGATCATGGTCGAGATCATGAACGAGTATTGGAAAGGCATGCTACTTGAGTTACCTCTCGATCCAGCGCAGGGTCTGCTCGAAGCTGAACTTCCCACACTGAAGGACCTGCACAACAAGATCTTAGTGAAAGTCAAGCGTGGACATCTGAAGCCAGCCGCGGCTGAACCACAACCAACAACGCTTGCCGCGCCAGCTGCAGCGCCCCAGCTACAACATACCATGAGCACCGAGTCTGCGGCTTCGGACGACTCTAAAGAAGCCGGACCAGATGGCGAGAACAACCCTCCAGCGCCGAAACCCAAGGTTATTGAAGCGCTATCAAGATTGGGTGTTTACTTGGGAGGATACTCGTACAAAACTCTCGATGCTCCAGAAGCGAAGGTTCCTACCCACGTGTTCTCTTTGTCAGAAGGTACACTGATGGAAGTCCACGAGAACGACCCCGTCCGACTCTTCGAACACAACAAACATTTCTTCATGCGCGCATATCCCAAAGGCACGCGGTTGACATCAACAAACTTGAACCCTTCCGTCTTCTGGCGCGCAGGTGTGCAGATAGTAGCGCTGAACTGGCAACGCTGGGACGGCGGTATGATGCAAAACGAAGCCATGTTCGCAGGTACCGCCGGATGGGTTCTCAAACCAGAAGGCTACCGCAGCACGAGCGAAGCAGCGACACAAAAGACCGCGATAACTCACCACGACCTCAACCTAAGCATTGAGTTCTTCGGAGGACAAGACATCCCTCTGCCGCCCGACGAAGACGATCCAAAGGATCTCAAACCTTATGTCAAGGTCGAGCTGCATGTTGAGTCGCACGAAGAGCGCAACTCCGAACATGTGCCCGGTGATGGAAAAGGCACGAAGACCATTGACCCCGACCTGAAGAAGGAGACCGAGAAGGCAAGGACCACGAACCCCGATTTCGGTGGTGAAATGGTCAAGTTCGTCAATGTTCCTGGTGTTACGGAAGAATTGACATTTGTCAGGTGAGTTTCATCTCTTTTCTTTCGCTCCGTGTCAGGCACATGCAGGTCGCCATGAGAGCCTCAAGCATCAGCCTCGCACCCACCCGCAGATGCTTTTGCCGGTCTACCAAGAGAAGTGGTAGATTAGCGGTCATGGGGTTCGGTCGGGTAACCTTGCATCATTTCGCTGCATACGCGCCATCACGTTGTATGGCGAGCGTTGAAAGAGCAATTCCGAGTGAGCAGTCGTGGCACGGTTGTTGAATGAGGGTCGGGATCACTGCACCTGCAGATCGCCGTTATTCCCGTTCACGCTGTTCCAGCGCCAGCGCCTCGTCGTTTCTTCGATGACACCGCATGACTCTGCGTCTGATCCAAAGAATCGGGTTTCAACGTCGAGCTACGGGGCAGCTGCAGTACCAAGGCGGTATACTGCTGTGGCTTCCGTCCCTCGGCCGTCTCGTAACCGCTTCAATTCGCAGCGAGAGTAGCTTTGCTGTGCGCAGATGGACGTGGGCGCGATGCTTCCCCACGACACGCCATGGCTCGATATCCCACTCGTTGACTGACCATGTCCATGCTAATCTCTTCCTCTCAGATTCAAAGTCATCGACAAGGAGCGTTTCGGCAAGGATGACCTAGCCGGTTGGGCATGCTTCCGCCTCGACCGCCTGCAGACCGGCCTCCGCATGCTGCATCTCTACGACTCAAACGGTGTCATCACCAAGGGTGTGCTATTGGTCCGCATCACGAAGACGGTCAGTACGGCTTGAATCAACTATATCTGTTATTCCTGACCGCTACTACTTACCGACCTATCTTCTTGTTTCCTTGGAGCTGGTACACACTTTGTGGAGTGTGGTGTTGTGGCTAATGCTGTGCTTTAGTTGTTGCCGAGAGGCGCGCGGGTGCAGCGTGGGAACCAGTTTGATCATGAGAGTTTGTCGCGGCCTCAGCATTTTGTTCATAAGTTGTGGGGTGAGAAGCATAAGATTGGGCTGAGGAGAAGGCTTGCGTCGTTATGACGGTGACCGATGCTCCGTCTTGGAGTTTACTGTATGTTATCTCGAGTGTATGTGTGTATGATACACTGCGCGGTACCCACTCAATTTGCTATGCATCTATACATCATAAGCGAGCATGTATCCTGAGTCTCTTACGACAATGTTTGCATGGTTTGTGAAACAATTCCGTTTCGTTGCATCTAGCCTTTGATGAGTTGATGTCGGCAGTTTCGGGGTATAGTGTTCGCCCAAGTGTCAGCAAATGCGCGCAGAAACCAACGCCTATCGGCTTCGCGGAATGGGTCAGGAAGGGCTACCGGCTCGAGGAACACAGGATCAATTCGCACCAGCAAGCACGAAGGCTTAGCTGAAAGTGTTGACATCACCTCGTCCCACGCGGCAGCATCACCCGAGCGACAGCCGCGGTTTGTACGACACTGCGACTGTTGACACGGCAGTTGCCTGGACACATCTCCTCGAGACAGACAAAAGCGACGCCTACAGTGTGACTGAAATCGGAGGGCAAGGCTGATGATCACCAACGGCCACCTTTCCGACCTTATGCGGCTCTGTGGCGGTACCGTGCATGTTGCCTGGCTGGGGATTATCTCCCGGGTGTGTCGCTACACCCACCAGCTCGGTGTGTCGCTGCACTACGGATTTCCCCATGCAGATTGGCGTCGAGCCTGGCGTGGTTGAGTCGAGTCTTTGACGAAGATACTGTGATATTGGTGCGATGTCATTTCTCACGATGGTTACAAAGAAACGTTGTCCCACGATGCAAATAGGTCCCAATCAAGTGCCGCAGACCTATTGCGCGGGTGTAATCGGATGGCTGGTGGTAAGAAATAAGGGAGGTAATCAGAATTTGCTGGCGGTACGTACCTCGGCCGATGCTGTGTGACGAAGATGTTGAAACTCACTCCGCGTGGCGTTGAGGCTGTACCTCTTGGGTGTCTTGCATCATGCAAAAAGTACCTTGTTGGTTGTTTGAGCGGGACGCGGATGCATTTGGCCAGTCGTGGATACTGGTGCTGGAACATATTCAATGTTGCCGATCGACGGGAACGGAGGTCATGGGCTTTGCAGATGGCTCCATTTGTAGCCATCGTCGGTTGCTCATCGGTGGTGTATGGAATGCCCAGTTCAGATGTGATTCAACCTGTGGTGATGAGCTGGATACGAGCAAGCCGTGCCGAGCGGATGCTACAAGAGCCTTAGTTAGGTTGGGAACTTTTCTGAATTCATCGGTGTAGCGCGTGCACCAGATCAAAAGTGAGCACCGAGCGGCGAAGTATGATGTGAGTAGCTAGCTCCCGAAGTGAAGCGACCGACAGCTATCGCTCGGTGATGAGAGTGACGTTTGGGCCTCACGGATCAGACCCGGCATGCGGCGAGATACTCTTACTCTCAGCGTTTGACCAAAGACTAATTCTGCGGAGGCGATCTCTCGAGCCCGGTGTATGACTAGAGAGGAAAATCGCTGGGGACTATCGAAC